AGACGCTAAAATATTTTTTAGGTTGTTGTTTGTTCCCATTACATTTTTCAATTTGTGTCTTAATGTCATGTATATCGTTCATGGAAGGTTTTTGTTTTACTGCATTTTCAGTTTTAAAATAATTTGTTATTAAATTCGGTTCTTTATTAATTTTAATATTTTGCTTCACTTTCTCACTCCTATCATTGCTAATGTCAATTATCTGTTTGTTACTATTGTCATTTATATGGCTCATGGTCTGAGCAAATTACATAAAAATGACAGACCTCTTAGACCAATTGTAAATAATATAAATGGCATTACTGAAAAATTGGCTAAATTCCTAAACTCAGCCTTAAACAACTTAAACAATAATAATATATACGATGTGAAGAATGCAATGCAAGTGAAAGAAAAAATTAATAGTATAAATAGGATAGAGGAAAACGAAAATCTAGTAAGCTATGACGCGGAATCCCTTTTTACGAATGTTCCACTAAATGAAATATATAGAATACTGGAAAAACGGTGGGATGAAATAGAACCGTACACAGAAATAAAAGATAAAAACGTTTTTATGGAAGGAATCAAATTAATTTGCGAAAATGGCTATTTCTCCTATAATAATAATTATTACAAAATGAAAAATGGTCTACCGATGGGCGGATGTATGTCAATCAATCTTTCGGGCATATATCTGAACAATCTAATAGATAATGCTATAATTAAATGGGGAAAAAAACCGAAGCTTATTATAAAATACGTTGACGATATACTTGCAATAATAAATAAAAATGAATCTGTTAATTTTCTGGATAAACTAAATTATATATCAGATAAACTAAAATTCACAATGGAATTGGAGAATAACAACAAAATAAGATATCTTGATATGTATATTCACAGAAATGAAAGCGGCGATCTTAGCACGGCATGGTGCAAAAAAACAATAACTAGTGATAGAATCCTAAACTGGCACAGTAACCACAAGAAACATATAATAATTAACACAGCTAAAAATTTAATAAATAAGGCAAAATTAATAACAGATCAAAACCATATAAAAGAAATCAAAGCACAAATATATCAAATTCTATTAGAAAATTGGTACCCCATTCGATTAATTAATAAATTATGGTATGAAAATAAAAAGTTAATTATAAATGACAATAGTAACAAACAGATTATTGACATTAGCAATGATAGGAGTGAGAAAGTGAAGCAAAATATTAAAATTAATAAAGAACCGAATTTAATAACAAATTATTTTAAAACTGAAAATGCAGTAAAACAAAAACCTTCCATGAACGATATACATGACATTAAGACACAAATTGAAAAATGTAATGGGAACAAACAACAACCTAAAAAATATTTTAGCGTCTCATATATTAGAAACTTAACTGATAAAATTGAAAGAACATTTAAACAATACGATGTAAATGAAATTAAATTTGCAAGCAAACCAATTAATAAATTAGATACAATTTATTCGAAAACTAAAGATAAAGTACCTATCGATAAATTAACGAATATTATTTATAAAATAAATTGTAAGAATTGCGACAACAAAGCATATTTTGGACAAACATCCCAATGGTTTGAAAAAAGGCTTAAACAGCATAAACAAAATTGTAATTCAAAAAACACAAAAATTAAATTAGCTACTGGACTCTCACAACATAATATGCAAACTAAACATGAGTTTGATTTCAAAAATGCCAAAATCCTACATAATGAAAGAAATACGAATAAACGTAGAATTAAAGAATCAATATACATAACTAAAAACTTAAAAAACTCAGTAAATAATCATACAGACGTGGATAATATGAATACTTTTTATGCTAGTTCTATTGAAAAAATCAAAATTTGAAATAAATCAGCTAATATTACTTAAAATAGATCCACATGTAATATTGAGTAACAGCATTATATATGTTCATAATAAATAGTCTTCCCCTACTCCTATAAGAATAACCAGTCACTGAATAGAAATGAGATGGATGACATGTGGGTGACTCAGAAACATGGTAAATTTAACTTATTTTGAATCATGTAATAGTAAAGATGAGTAATAATAATGTTGTTAAATAATTAAAGGTGAACATGACAATAATAATGAATTTTATTATATTGTAGACGCTTGCAATTCGCATAAGTGAAAATGACAGGTACATGATGGGTATTTTAGGTACATAATAAGTATCTTTATAATTTGAAATATGTTAAAATTTAATATATGATTGTAAATGAAAAAATTTTTTTAGACTTGAAAATGGCTCGACGAGCCGAAACGTCGTCATTTTGATGAGTAGTCATTAAGTGACAAAAAATTTTTTTTAAATTGGTGTAAATATGGCTAATAATAAATTAACTTGAAAATAATAGTATGCACCGAAGAAGAATTGAGTAATATTGTTAAGTATAGTTTTTGGAAATAATTCAGAATATTTTAGGGTATCGGGTGTCACTATCAGGATTCCTCTGAAATTTTTATTTGTTACATTATTTTGTCAATATATATTGTAATGTATACCTTTAATGGAAGTAAGTAAAAAGGGTTTAATAAATTAATATTGAACAATTAAAAGGCATCTAGTTCTGCTATTGGAGGGAAAAGAAAATGGTTGCTCTGTAGTTTCCCAAGAAGGAAAATCCCAAACAGGAGAGGGACAAAGGTTTTTATTTTGGCAAGCAGTTTTTGTCTGGCTGTAGTGAAGAGAGGATAGGAGAAGAGATCCTGGCTCCAGTGGGTAAAATCCAAAAATAGTATTACCATCTTGAAAGTTGTTTGGAATTACAAGAGAGAGGATCTTCCAGGAAGCTTGAGTTGAGTAGAAGAAAGTATCACCACTTTGGAAAGTGCTTCAAAAACAAATGAATTCAGTGCCACAAAGGAAGAAACATTGTATATAGAAAAAAGGTTGGCTTGCCAATTCATATTTGACTTTATTTTAAAACCAAACAGTGTTTAGTATAGTTAATTTTAGTTTGTCTGAGTGTTTTGATCTGATTATCAGTAACCCATACCTGAGATAAAATGATTATAAAGTTTAGTAAAATATATTAATACTCTTATAATTTTGATTATTATTTAATAACCTCTTATTTATTTAGAAAGTATCCTAATAGTATTAAAGTGATCTTCCTAGGTTATATTATTATTATTTGTAAAATATAAGAGAGATGTTACAATATATTTACATATAATTTCGAGAAACACTTTAAAGAAATGTTTCTTATTCTTCACTTAACTTTATTACACTTTTATCTCCTTTTTACATCTTACAAGGTTTCGAGCTTTGGCCCACTTAACTCATTTTCAAATCTTAGAATTATCCCAATAACATTAATAACAATATTATATATATATCAGCACAATATCACATTAAAATCGTTTTTTTAACGATCACTATTAGTGAATAAAACTTATGCTTAACATAATTGTGTAATCCTATAAATATTGTTTATACTTTTTTTAAACTTTATTTAACTTGTATCATATTTAAAAAAAAAAAAAAATGGAAATAATTTTAAATAATGCAGTATTACTCAAATACCTATAAGCATGACAATAGCATGTGAGCTCACAGCTCAAGAAGTGTTAATATTAACTGGTCATTCTAGTTAATTTTTGTGCCTCTGGAATTATTTCCATAACTGTGCTATTACAAGCCAATATAAGTTTATTATGGTTCATTAATACTTATTTTATAGTCTTAAGTTCGTCCATATTTTTATTAATGATTCATTTAACCAATATTCCTATTTTTCTAAATAGTGTGTCCATTTTTTTTTAAATTTATTTACTTTTCTTGCGTGTTTGTTTCAGGTGAATTTGGAATATATCTGATTTCTGATGGTAGTTCTAAACCATACAGGTGCAAAATCAAAGCACCTGGATTCGCTCATCTTGCCGCGTTAGAGAAGCTTGGCAAAGGTTCCCTCTTGGCAGACATCGTAGCCATTATTGGTAAAAATCAATTTATGTTTAGTTGAAATGTATAGATTTCTTTTGAATTTTTCCATACAACCATAAGTATTTTTTAAAAAAAAACATTGATTTATTTAATCAAAACTTACATTATTTATGTTTTAGGTACCTTGGATATTGTATTTGGTGAGGTTGACCGTTAAACATAATTTTATTTGAGCATTAATGGATCCAGGATATAATTTTGGATGGCTTCAGCCCAAAAGCTTATTTTATTTATGTATATATAACGATAATTACTTTAATAGAAAAATAAAGTAACTAACTACCTATATGAAATGATGTTTAAGTGATTTTTTAAGTCCTATTAAGTGTAATTACACAAAAATAACACTTTTAAAGTTATTTTTTTCACAACTCTTTGTTATTATTATATTGGTATCATATTTTCAATTTTGTCTTGAAGACAATTTTAAATTTAATTTATACCACTCCAAAAAAAAAAATAATAAATAAATAAAAATGGTCATTCAATAATATTTAGTTTTTACTTGAAAACTTTCTTCTACTATCCCTCCTATAATAATTTTTATTGTTTAAATTATACTTGTGTCTTTAGATAAATGATCATCCATTTTTTATGAATTTAACTGTTAATTGAAATACTTAATTGTTATTTTCAACGCCTACTCCTTTGCTTGGATGTTCTGTTCTCATATATTGTCTTATATGGTTCTTCTCAATAAAAAAAAAAGTTACATAATCCTAAAAAAAAAAATATATGCTTTGAAGGTGCTGAAACAGTGTTATCTCATATAGTAGTAAATAACTGATTGACCAAATAAATCTTCTTGAAATGTTGACTGGCAAGCTATTTATTGCTCTTTAAAAGTCTTAATAATTTTTAAAATCTGCCTATAACACCACATCCTATTCATTATTCAAATTAATTTATATAAAATTTCAGATAATTAAGTATATATTTTTAATTAAACTGGTGTTTAACATCAAATTAATATTTAAGTGAATTAAGATAGCTTAGCCTCTAATATTTTTATGAAGGAATATTAAGGAAATCATTAATTTGTTGTACAATTGTATATAACTCATTTTTATTTTCATTATATATATAAGTATTTTAATATTACAGAATAGCAACTGTTAGTTGAAATAAGTTAATGGATAATGAATTAATTAGGATAATAAATTAAGCTCTTTCAAGCAATAAATAATGACATATAATGCAATGGTTAATCCAATGGTTAGAATAATACATTGTTGGAATTTTTTTTTTCTTTTGAGCATATTCATCTGAGAAGGACGATACATTGATTGATAAATCAAACCTTGATAGAAAATGAGCAGTGTTGAATTTGTTTTTTATTCAACAAGACATGCTTTTCTAGAAAAAAAATTGCTATGCAATTAATGACTGTTCTTAATGATAGTTCATTGAGTCTATTTTTAATCAACTTCTTCTACAGTTGGGCCTTTGGCTCCTCCCTGATGGAGCTTGGTCATAATCGGAGAGCAAATCTTCTGCAGTTCTTTAAGCTTGTCTTCGAATTCCTCTTTTTCTGCCAAAGAGTTCGAATCAAGCCAAGAAAGTGCTGAAGAACATTGATCCGTTATTGTTTTCTTATCTTCATCTGAAAGTTTGGCACCTGCATCTTCAGCCGCTTGTTTAGCCGAAAAACAGTAGCTCTCAAGTTGGTTTCTGGCACTAACACGTTCACGCTGTCTGTCATCTTCTGCCTTGTATTTTTCGGCATCTGATAACATTTTATCAATTTCAGATTTAGATAATCTTCCTTTGTCATTTGAAATTGTTATCTTTTCTGACTTTCCAGTACTGATATCTTTTGCTGACACATTTAGGATACCATTAGCATCAAGATCAAAAGTCACCTAAAATAAATATAAAAATTATTAATATTCTAATTTATATAAAATGTATATTGTATGTTAATAATAAAAGAAAGTCTTGTTTAATACGAAAGTGGCTTGTAGGTAATCATGTGAAGATAAATGATGTTTGATAAATTTTTTTTAAGAATGATTTATAATATAATCTTCATTAGAAAATTATTTGGTTAAATTTTTCAGTGATCGGTAGAACTATTTCCATTATAAATAGCTTTTTAACACGTTCACGCCATGACCTACTTTTATTTGTTTTGCTTTGTGGCAGCGCTGAAATTAATGCCTTCATCTGGCAGGCACTAATAGTGTCTAATAGCACAATCAAATGCGTAGCAGCGGTGGTATGCGCCGCCCCATGAGATAATCTAGTGCGGGCCACCGGTAGTACACGCCGACATGAACGTGTTAATCTCACATTGTATATTCTTTCAAAAGATTTATAAACTATGTCATGTATGTATGTAAAATAATTATTATGAATTATGAATCAGAATGAATATTCTGAAAATAACAATGACAAATGTTTGTGTTGGTTCACACAGTTTTATTTTGTTTAAAATATAATAGGGTCATGTGTGGATGATGACAGTTAACTTTGCTCATTTGAGCTCTTTTCATGGGATCATTCATCATATTTATTATCAGCATTATTGCTAGTGTATTTCACTGAAAAAGTATTGTGCTAATTCAATGTGTTTGTCACATTACAAGATAGCAAGTTGGTCAGTATGATCAGGGCCACCCGGAGTAAAATTATACCTGGAGTCACCCCTCGAACACAATCAGTAGTATTACGTCTCATGTTTATTGGTTATATTTATTATACTTTTGCACTTCTGTTCACGACTGATAAATCTCTAACCAGCCTGTAATTTATCTGACAACATCAAGTGGAACTGAAGTTGGAAATAATTATTCTGCTTGTCCTGTATGATGATCTGAGCTAACATTAAAAGGAATAATTGGTAAATGGTTGACTGTCGTGAATAATGAAGAGAAGAATAGTTGGGGTGATCAGTCAAATAAGAAGGCAAAAATAAATGATAATATTTATTTTGACATTTGCCGACGTTTCGACCTGAAGTTCAGGCCTTTTTTTGATTATGTTTACTTCATCATTCCATACTTTGTACCGGTTATTATCATTTATCTCTTAGTTCTTACTATTGTCATTATTATAACAACTGCATTTTAATTTAATTTTTTTTTATCTACACTACTTATGTTTCTCATACCTTATCTGGTTCTTTTTCTTAGCCCTGATGATGGCCTGAACTTCAGATCGAAACGTCGGCAAATGTCAAAATAAATATTATCATTTATTTTTGCCTTCTTATTTGACTGATAACCCCAACTATTCTTCTCTTCATTAAAAGGAATAAATTAGAAAGTAAAAATTGGATAGAAATAAGACTTTTCCAAAAGCATTATGCATTATTTAAATGTTTGTCCCTGATCTGTAGCCTCTCCTCAGTCCCAGGGCGAATTCCCCAGTTGCCCTGCCCTTGTGACGGCCCTGTGTATGGTTTCGAATACAATTCACGAACCAGAGGATAATGGATAATAGATGTCATATAAGTATTTCTTTGAATACAGATGAGTTCAAGATTAAGTGAGGTGTAATGAGGGTTTGAACTCAGAGAAGGTAATGAGATATGTGAGAACTGTGAAGGCATACAGATAACTAGAATATTTAGATTGACTGAACACGTGGTTATCGATATAAGGAACCATAAAGTTGAGTTTCAAATAATTTTAAAAAAAATTTACTATTTAATTATGATAGAATGTACAGATCACCAGTTTCTGAAAAATCATTTCTTATAACAAAGAATATCGCATTAAGTAATGTTTATAAAAACAATCTAATCACCTCAATTTTTGGAACTCCTCGAGGAGCTGGTGGTATACCATTAAGGTTGAAAGTGCCAAGCAAATTGTTGTCCTTTGTCATTGCTCTTTCTCCTTCAAATACCTGAAATAGATCAACATAATCAACAACTATTCCATAATTTATAGTGCACTTAAGTTTTCTATGTTGTTTATAAATTTTACAAAACTTGATAAACTAATGCTAGGAAACTTTTTGTTTGGATAAAATAACTTGTCTGTTATAGATAGATAGATAGATAGAAAAAAAAACTTTATTCTGGGACTAAGTCCCTTTAGAATAACAATATTGTACAAAAGAATAGAATATTACTGGCCTAAAAGTTTGAAACAAAAAATAAAATTGATAAAATAAAATAAAAAGTAAAGAAAACCTTAGGTGCACAAACTATATACAATACAGATAAAACTATGTACAGAGCATTTAAAACTATGAACAAAACAATTAAAACTAAGAACAAATCACTTGAACTATGAACAAAACTATATATAAGGGTTGAACAACATAAACAAACAATTTGAGAAATGAAGAACGAAAAAGAGATAGAATGAGTTCATTTCATAAAAAAAACTTTATTTGATTATATATATATATATATATATATATATATATATACCTGGTAAGAGATAGTACTTGCATTTCCTACTATCGATGTAGGAATTACAATACATACATTTTTTTTTGTTTCAATTATAATTAACTGTTTATTTATATATATATATAAATTATATATATATATATATATATATATATATATATATATATATATATATATATATAAACAGTTAATTATAATTGAATAAAAAAAAAATGTATGTATTGTAATTTCTACGTCGATAGTAGGAAATGCATGTACTATCTCTTACCAGGTATTATGATTATATGATTGCTACACAATACATATATAGTATTAAGAGTTAGCTGGTATCTAACTGTTTTTTCTAATAGGAATTGGAATAGGAGGTTTTTGAATGTTTATAGGGAAGGGGCATGTCGAATTTTGATCGGGAGGGGATTCCAAAAGTTGACAGAGTGGGCTATAAAGGAGTTTTGGAATGAGGCAGATTTATGAGAAGGGCTGAATAGGTCAGAGGGTCGAGATCTTGTAGTGAGGGAATGGATTGAGGACTTAAATTGGAGAAGGTTGCAGGCATAAGAAGGACAATGATCGGTAATGATTTGATAACGGAAAGTGCCTAGGAAATATTGTCTTCTTAAGGAGGGGAAGAGCCACCCTAACTCAGTGTAGTGGTGGGAGACATGTGAGCGTCTCGGGGTCCCAATTACAAATCTTACGAAGCTATTCATAAGTCTTTTGAGTCTATCACGGAGTTCCACCAAGAAGCCATCGTACACCACACAACTCTAGTCAAAGTGGGGAAAGATGAGAGAGGAAACTAGGATTCTACGGGTATTTTGGGGTAGAAGATGGCGGAAGTAATGGAATAATTTGAGGGTAGAAATTGCACGGCAGGAAATATGAGAGATATGGTGATTCCAGGAAAGGGTTTGATCTCTGAAAAAGCCTAAATTTTTAACAAAGGGGTAGAAGATGATGGAGTGGTTGTTTAGATAGAGTGAGGGAAAGTTGGTGTGGGATCTAAGAAGGGGCTTGGGTTATACTATTAGATATTAAACTAAGAACTATGAATGTAATCAAACCAAGTTTAACTGAGCTTTACCTGAATGGATACAGCTGGTTGGTTATCAGCATATGTAGTAAATGTCTGTTGTTGCTTGCATGGAATCCTCGAGTTACGTTCGACCAACTTTGTCATGACTCCTCCGGCTGTTTCTATACCCAATGACAAAGGTGCTACATCTACAAGAAGTACATCCTGTATAGCAGTGCTGGTATCACCACTGAGAATAGCTGCTTGAACTGCAGCGCCATAAGCAACTGCTTCATCTGGGTTGATAGAGAGATTCAAGGCTTTGCCATTGAAAAAATCCTACATATATAAATTATTTTTAAAAATTGCTTATTCTATGAAGACAAAATATTTTACCTTGTTATATTCTATGAATCTCCTTTTACAATCTAAATTGTAATTTTTCACAAAACATTTTAAACTGCTCTAAAACAATATCAGTTTTTTTTTCTGAATATCAGTAAAAGATCACTTTAAAAAAAACAAAAAAACTTAGATATAAATTGAATAATGTAAAGAAGATAATAAACAAATATAAAATATTTCTTGCATTTTCTAATTCTTATAGTAGTGTGTAAATTAAGAATCTCCAGTTTTTTCGATCATTTTAATTGTTTATCAAATTTACTGTTCAGTATCAACTTAGGATCTCCTATCCATTTAATGATTGTGGATTGCTGGTTGACTGTAGTGAATAATTGAAGAGAATAATGGTTGGAGTGATCAGTCTTTTTTTGAATGATCTCCCCAACGATTCTTCTCTTCAGTTATGTATTTAATCGTATACCATTAACAATGATTTGTAAACAATGCTTATTATTTTTTACTTATCAGTTCACTAAAATGACCGAAAATAAATTAGAATAATCGTTTATACTGGTAATTTAATAAAATAAAATATTTTAAATATATATGGTAATATTAAATATCAATCTTAATAATTTTTTTTTCTAGTAAATAAGAATTTTTAAATGTTTCTAAAAGTTTTTATTATATATATATATATTATAAATTCTACTTAGGATAATAAGAAAAAATATACTCTCGACTATAATTTAAAATAAATTTAAATGAAAGAAGTTTTAGTTTTTAGTTTTATTGTTTTCGGTCATTCGTTCAATCATTTGTTGTAATGTTATAAATATAAAATCATGATCAAGTAAAGTAAGTAATAATGATGTTTACTTTTAACTGGTAAAATTTACATTTCTTTTCTCACAAGGTCATGTAATATTTATATTGTATTATAGTTTGACTGAAACTTTATTTTTATTTATTTATCAAAATTAACAACTGTATTCATACATTACAACAATTAAATGTAAAGTAAGAATATAAAGCATTATATGAACTTGTGAAGGAAGTAAACAATGATAGCATTTGGATTGACTGAACTCAATACAGAACTTAAAACTTCCTAAAAAAACACTAAATTTTGATTTATGGTGTTGTATATAATATAAAGACGTGTATGTATATGTAGATAATATGTTTTTAATGCATATATTTTGATTAAATTAATAATATTTTGTTTGATATTTTCTTATTCTTCAAGAATTGTTATTTTATTAATTGTTATTTTATTAATTAATAAAAAAATATTAATTTTTTTTATTAGTAAAGTCAATCTTACTTGTAACATCTTCTGGATTTTAGGAATTCTTATGGATCCTCCAACCAAAACAACATCATGGATAGTACCTTTGTCCATCTTTGCATCATTCAAAGCCCTTTCCACGGGTGACAATGTTGATCTGAACAAGTCCATGCAGAGCTCTTCAAACCTCGCTCTCGTTATCTTTGAATAGAAATCAACTCCTTCATGCAAGGCATCGATCTCTATGCTTGCTTCAGTCGAGGAGGATAGGGTCCTCTTTGCCCTTTCACATGCTGTGCGGAGTCGCCTGACAGCCCTGGTATTTCCCCTCATGTCTTTTTTGAATTTCCTTTGGAATTCCTCGCAAAAGTGATTCACCAGCCTGTTGTCGAAATCTTCACCACCCAAGTGAGTATCTCCAGCAGTTGATTTTACCTATGATAAGCAAAGATATTTTATACATGTGGCTAATTAATTTATTTTGTACATAATGCGATGAGCAATCAAATTTATGATATATACAAGTAATCCAAATATTAATACTATACTTGAATTGTTGATGGCTACTTTAAATACAAAAAACTGTTATAATAGTTTTGGTCATGGTACTGACATTTTATTATTCAAAGAGGCTTATTTTATTTTATATTATTTTTTTTTAGCTTGGCAGAAACACAAAGCTGATATAGATTCGTGAAATGGTTTATACTATAAAAATAAAATAAAATTTTATTCAATTCAAAGTAAGTAATTTGAAGCATATGATAACTGCAAGAAGTTACGGCAATGACAAACAGAAATTTACTTTTTTTGTCACCTTTTACTTTCAATAAGGACTACAGATTCTGTTAAGTTTTTTTTTTTTTTTTTTTGTTTCTTTCAATCCATTCCACTGGATCACTAATTCTATCCAAATATTGTTTTATCAAAATTTTCTGTTTTAACTCATTTCATTCCAGTCACCTTTTGGCCATGGTTGAACATTTTAAAAGTTTTAAATGACTTTTGCCCATCCTAATGGCAATAACTTCTTAAGAGAGTATTTTGAAAGAGCCATGTTCCCTTTGGATACGGTAGTGGCCTGTGATTTTAAAATTTCCCATTTTTCTATATTTGAAAAAAAAAATTATATTTTTATTTACTCTTGCTCGTCCAATTATATGTGTCCAGGCAGTTGTTACATACCTGGAAAAGAGACCCTTCATCGATGGAGAGAATGGACACATCGAAGGTTCCTCCGCCAAGATCGAAGATGAGGACATTCTTCTCGCCCTTGAGGTTCTTGTCGAGCCCGTAGGCGAGTGCCGCCGCCGTGGGTTCGTTGATGATCCTGAGGATGTTGAGGCCCGCGATGGCCCCCGCGTCCTTGGTGGCCTGCCGCTGGGAGTCGTTGAAGTAGGCTGGCACGGTGACAACCGCGTCGGTCACCTTGCCGCCCAGGTAGGTCTCTGCTATCTCCCTCATTTTGGTCAGCACCATGGAGCTTACCTGCAACATTATCAGGTACAGTCCTTCTAAAGGTCTTACAGTTTGCTAAGTGTATTTGTCATAGATTTGCGGCATGGTGTATCTGTAGAGCCGATCGGATTCTACAGGACAATGAGAATAACGGAAAGGATACTATATTGGATGTATAAAGGATTATACACACAGATCGCAATGCGTCCCGGCGATACGATACCATTTGTCGGTGTCGATGCGGATTATCGCAACTCCGTGACTGCTTTAATGTAATAGATAGTAAAACAACTATATCGCCGCCGACAGAAATATCGTATCGCCGTGACATATCGCGCTCCATGTGTAGGAGTCTTAAGGAAAAACGCCAAAATATGAAGTCATAAGACTTTTTACTAGTCCTCCGTAGTCTGTCATAAAATTCTACTTATCCTTAATCAATCCGAATTTTCAGACATTGTTCACGACATCAATAGATTAGTCAATATATTGTTGTACCATACATTCTGTGAATAACGGTGTCCATCCAGCATCGCACAACTAGATACAATTATATAAAATTAGTTTGTATTGGTTTACCTTTGTACTGAGTTTTAAATATATTTATACAAATTTAGTGCGGTGCGCGTTTCACGCAATTTTCACTTAAGATATGAACTTTCTACGTAGAGCAGAAATCGCTATTTCGATAAATTAACAATTATAGATGGTATGACGAATTTATTTTAAACAAAATATATCTTTCTCGCCCATAGAAATTGTTAAATTTATATTTTTACGTCACTTTCTATTTTCTTTTACTTCAGTATATAATAAATAATAATGTTAATGGTTGTGGAAGAAAGTGGATCTTTCGGAAAAATTCTGAGCTTTGTCCGAAACATCTGAAAAAAATAAGTTAATATCGATATACAGGGTGTTCCGTAAGTAGAGAGAAATTTTTATAGGAATGATATCAGGCTTCAAGAGCTACAAAGAAGTTCATATGAACAATAGGTAAATTTTCAGAAATTTATTATATAACTAGCCATTTTATAATTTAAGTACTTAAGAACTACTTCATAGTAAACTAGACAAAATTTACTTTAAATGAAAATAGAGTTTTTAATTTTTAAAACCATTTAAACTTTTGAGAGGCTTAACTAAGCTAAGTTCTGTTTTTAAAAATTCATAAATTATTTGCTATTTTGTTTATCATTCAATAATGATTTTCATCATTCAATTATACTACTGATTCCTCATTTTTTCCCCTAAACTTCTTGGTTTAGACATCTTTAAGTCTATATGAATTAAATTGAGATTTATTAGGAAAAATTTGAGGTTCATCTCAAGTTGTGTAAAAAAAGGTGATTTTTTTATCCTGACAAGTAAAAGCTCTTCAGCTGATAACCAACTTTTTTCGTTGGTTATTTTTAACCATTTTTTATTATTAGTTATAATGCAGAATGGTTAATGTTTTACAATAAACAAAATTAAAGGTACTTTAGAGGAAGCAATTTTGAAAATTCGTCATTTAAGCCCGGTCAAACTACTTCAATAGGAATAATACTTACCTGATATTAAATAATACTTAACTTAAATAGATATAACGAGTTTAATCAAAATTTCTACATATATAAATATATTAAATATATATCATATCTGGATAAAACCAGATAAAATAAAATTATGAAGGATCGGGAAAAAAATCGACGTACAGTTGTTTTTGAGGAAATTATAAAAATGAGTGAACTTGATGATAAAAAAGATCACTTCCGGGTTTTTTTTCCGTTCATTTCGGCGAAAAATTATTTCATATATAGCCAAGTGAAAGTAAAAATATGTTGTGGCAAAACTATGGAATACTATACCGCCTCTAAACTATCAAATTTAAATTATAAAATTACACCAATATGAACATCCTCACAGAACTGGACATTGACCTTCCCAAAAAAAAAAAAAAAAAAAAATAGAGAATCGAACCTTCGACAATGATTTCTTCACAACAGAGATGATGAAATAAAGTATTTATTCATATTTTAATAGATTTATTGCTTTTAGTTTTAAGTACATACTTCTTTAACTATCTGTTTTGTAAGAATGGCACGTACAATACGGAAAACACGGAATCTAGTGATGCTTTATACATCTGTAAGATTTAGGAATGCAAAGACATTAATTTAGCCTTGAGTGAAAAACTGAATCATCACTTGGATAAAAAACAATGTAGCAGTTTACCGAACGGATGGTTAAGATTTCGAGAAATGAATTTTGAAAAAAAATCTTCTTTTATTTTTTTTTTTATGTTTTCAGTTTCTAAGTTAAGCAATGTTAATCATTTCATAAATTTATGTACATTTTGTATGGAGGAGTAGACGAATTTGAAAAGGGTGTGTGACTCATGAATTTACACCCACCTAAAAAGTAACCTTCTGTCTATATTCATCAGTTCTTTTCTTCAAGTTGTTTAAATATTTTGTGAAACTATTCATATACAGTTATCACTTATATATTGATAAGTGTATATATTCATTTTTTTTTATTCCTCATTTAGTTTTTGAATATTGACAATAATTTTGGTCATTAAGGTCTACACTCTTAGGCCTTTAGTCTCCGCTACGCCTACATCTCGTGAAAAATATCAGTAGGTCTATTTCTATTCCTGAGTAAAGCAACAAATCTGTCGCCCACTAGTCCACTAGAAGAGATATCTGGAATGGTTCCATGCTCAAAACATTATTTCACTGCGTTACATCTTGGCCCGAAAAAAAATTGCTAATAATCGTTAATAATAATAATTATCCTCTTAAACTTTGGAGTTGATCAGTCACTTAATTGTATATTTTAAGATAATTTCTTCTGGAATATGTTTTAATTATCTGTGGCACCTATGCATAGTGTGCTAAGTCTAAAAATGATATTTTCGGAAAAAAACACAATAGAAAGTCTGGAATTTTCACAGGTGCAAGTTCAATTTTCTAGTTTCAACCCATGAAAAATTAGCTTTCTGGTGATACCCATAAAAATTCACAAAATCGCAGTTAAAATAAATAAATTATACCCTTAAAGTTTATTTATTTTTTAATTTATAAATATTTAATGTTTATTTATTAAGGATATAGTATAATTATATCCTTATAAATATATATATACACAAACGCACAAGGTTTCACCAAGTTTAGTTTTTGAAACTCTGAGTGAATATGAAGGAAAAATCAAAAATTTATACAGAAAACAAAATAAAAAAATACTTATAAATATCAGAAATTGTTATATAGAATTGTAATATGAATTATTGCAATTAAAATATTAATATTTTTAGATAACATACTTCTTCTGGCGCGAATTTCTTAACTTCACCCTTATATTCCACTTGAATTTTAGGTTTTCCACCGTCAGAGACAACGGTGAATGGCCAGTGTTTGATGTCGCCTTGAATCTTTGGGTCGTCATATTTCCTTCCAATCAATCGTTTGGCGTCAAACACCGTGTTCTTCGGGTTCATGGCGACCTGTAACGTTATAAATTAAATGAAATATTTGAATGAAAAAATATAGTAATATTTTTGAATATAGTAATACTTTATTAATTAATTAATAATATCTTAAAATATAGTAATACATGTGTTAACTTCATAAATCCGAAGAAAAAAAAAATTAAAAACCTTTTAAAAATCTTTTAAGTCATATATAACTCAGAAAACACGAGCGAACCTTTTTGAATTGTGGTGGATGGAGGTTGTGTAATTGTATGGATATATTTTTTTTTATAAATTTTGTCAAGATTCAAACTATGAGAGCAAAGACTGGTTATTCTACAATTTAGAAAAATTTTCTAGAATGGGAAGGTCGACATTTATCAGGAATAAAATCACAATTAATTTCTTTTTAATCACATTTAATTTTTTTTTAAAGAAACGATTTTTATAAACACAATTGGAAACGAAACAATAAATTTACAATTAAATATAAGAAAAAGAAATCTTAACAGAACAATATATTTGACATATAATTCGTTTTTTCGTATAAAATGTTTTTTAATTATTTAGAAAAAATAATAGTTTTATAGATTCATTAATTATTGAAATCTGTATTATAACAAGACAAAACATTTCTATGAATAAAAAAAAGGATGCATCGGCCGGGAATCGAACCCGGGCCGCCCGCGTGGCAGGCGAGCATTCTACCACTGAACCACCGATGCTTATTTCATGGGAAGAATATGTTGCTATAAAGGAAGCGTATTCATATTTGGTTTGGTATTTTTCTATTTTTTTTTAATGATTATTATATTTAGTAATATTTCATTGTTTAACTGGAAAAGACCAGTAAAGAAGAATTTTATAGGTAAGAAAGTAAAACTAATTATCCTTGGAAGAAGTGTGCCTAAATGACTGTCAGAATTGATGGGTTTTCTGCACTCATGTATGTCACACATGTGCTACTTGGAAAAGCTATAATTTCTTTCCATTCAAATATAGCTGAGTATTATTTTTACTTTTCCAGCTTCCTTTGGGAAGCCAATTATTATTTTAATTTTTTAAAAATCATACTTTATATCATAATCGTGGTAATAAAATGAATATTTCTTTTTTTCTTAATTTCAGACATTTTGGAATCTTCGTTCTTCAGTATTACATGAAATAAAATAGAATCATGCCGTTTTATATTCCATGAATAGAAATATTTAGTATTACAATAAAACGTTAGTTGTACTTATGCCATTGGATAAATTCATAATATATTTTATGATATAGCTTTAAAATATATTAGCTTATTTATATTTAATTTACTTTTTATATTATTAGTTTATTATACCTGAATGAATAGTTAATATCAAATAAATAGAACACATAAAATCATTTAGTAATTTAGCAGGTATTAAAGGTAGTATTTAATTAAACTTTTATGTATTTCCATTTGGTTATAAAATTATTTATTGCAACATATTCATAAATCAGCTTTGGACTGTTATCTCTAAAGAAAAGATAATATTGACTCATTTGCTATCAATCTTCTGGAAATTTATTGAGATAAACCTTGTCATTGATGTATATATTATATAAAATAAAACAAAAAAAAAAAAGACTACGCCACATATACACACTTCGGTGAGACATATCTGTGTAAATTCTCCATTATTAAGACTGTTAGATGAGATGGCAGATCTAAGCTAAAGGCTCTTTGCCAACCAGATCCAGAAATATTCCGGGGAACTGAATCAAAGAAGGCAATCCTTTACTTAGGGTAACTATATATAGATTCCAGAGCAGCTGGCTCAGTATAGTTTAAGAATCATTCACTGTAACCCATCGTTATGGCCAACGAACTTTAATATTAATAGCATGTATTATATAGTTTATATTGTAGTTTATCTATATATAATTTAATATTATACCAAAATAACAACAATGATAATTCTCAAAATCAATATTTAATATTTCTATCAGAATTGAGTCAAAACAAAAGTAATAAATCACATATTTGAGTAGGAATATGTGTAGAATATATTTGAAAAAATACTTTAGTATTTTTAATCATAGAGGTCAATTTTTATCGTAAGCCAACTAAACTACTGTTAAAAAAATTATCCAACCAAAAATCTCATTTCACCGTTTGTTAAAATGGGATAAATTGTACAAACTTCACGACTTGGATTCATAATAAAATTGTCTTTTAAAAATTATTCTCACTATTCCTTGGAACGGCATTAACAATGTTACGAAGATTAATAGATAAAGTACATGATGGGTTCTGTTATTGAGGTAATAACTAAAGGCTCAAGTGGATGAAGATGACAAGTGATAGTTTTAGAGTTTAGAGAAAACTGAATTCGAATCACCTGTATATGATATAAGGCAGACCTTTATCCTCTCCTGACAGCTTTATCTATTCAGTTCTGAGCCAATAGATGAATTTATGTGGATGGTATGAGGAAATATTAAAAATATATCACTTTAAACTTTTATCTTTAGCATTAATTTAAAAAATGTCACATATTGCCCAATGGTCCACTCATATGAGTACAGTTGTGTACAAAAAAAAATTGTATCTGCATTGTTTCATTTTTATTTTACAAATTAGTTTTTATCCGTAACACTTTATTAAAGGAAGTTTATATTGTGTTTAATTGTTACTGTGTTTTGTTTAAAAGAACATTTTACCATGTTAATGAGTAGCTATGTACTAAATTCCTTTTTTTTTTTTACTAAAAAATTATTGAGATATATTACAATCTGTTACATCTGAGGACAATAGTAATAGTGATAAAAGAGTAGCTCATTCACACTATGTACAATAAATAAATTACAAAATAATAATAACTACTTAAATACACACATGATTTTTATATATGGACTAAATCATACAATTTTTAATTTTATTTATTTAATATTTATGTGACATTGAAGTAGTAGTAATTATATAGAGGTTGTCCTCATTAAATAAATTTCAATAAATCGATTATTAAAATGACAAAATATCTATATAGAAGAGGTAGGTATGAAATGGACAACTGTGAGGAAGAAAAATATTGTATATAAAAATTTGTAATTTTATTGTTTATAAATTTTAAAAGATGGAAAAATTCTCTTTACATGTAAATATCCTGAAGGTGAAGTAATATCCTTCAAACAATGATGTCATTTTTAATGATAAATAAAAATAATAAAGGGAAGATATAATAAAAAATTATTTATGCTTATTATTATTTTATATGTAATTGTAATGATAAATTTAAGCTTATGGTAGTCTATCTTTTTGACTATTTATTCGGAGAACAGAAGTATTATATTTATTCTATAATTATCTTTGATCTTTCATGAAATGGTGGATCTAGAGGAAAATAAATAATTTTCAGAATGCATTATGTCCTTCTAAATATCATATCATATTATATCTCCCATATTTTTATCCTAAACTAGATTGGTTTAACAAAGAGAAAAATATTTATTTTGAAATTCATTCCCCTCAAATGGAAAATCAAAAGAATCCTCCAATACTCAGAGAAACAGTTTAACAATGTCAGCAACTGTAAATAATATTCTTATTAGGTTTTAATATTGCTTATATTTAAAAGGAACTTTTTATATAATAGAAAATAGAGAGCCATATAGATTTTATTTATTTATTGATTAACATGACATTCTATCAATTGGACAATACATATAGTGAGGCAAAACTACGTTCATACTACTTGAACATAAAAATATAAAATAAACAGAAGCAAAATAACTACTAAATATTAAACAAAAAGTCAGAGCCATATAAAAATCTGTCAAGCATACTATGCTTGACATGGGCAAATGCTACTCTCAACAGTACTGAGTACCAAATATGTTACTCAAATACTGACCTTTTTTTGAGTACCAAAGAATTTATTTTCTACTTCAGTTCATGTCAAACGATTAACTGAAATAGTGATTGGATTCCCAATAGGGATTCAATTTGAGTAAAATACTTGGTACTCGGTAGTCAGAATTGTTTTTACCCATCTCTGAAGCGTACTTGTTTAAGATACCATCCACAAATCCGATTCATAAAAGATTTATTAATTTGTAATGGCGGAATCAGGATTGCATCTATGAATAACAAACGGTGTATTAAAATTAACCTATGTTCACAAGAAATGCTTTATGTTTGATTGTAGTGAGTCATCACGTAAACAAAGCGAAGAAAATAGGGCTATTTTATTAAGTCAAACCAATGCCTATTGCATGATCAATTACTAAGATTATTTTAATAATTCTGAAAATTCGTGACATCATAAAGGTCCTTCCAAAAATGACGAAGCCGTCAAAGGAAGCGAGAGTTTGTATCGTCTGACGAAAGAATTTTCGCCCACTCGAATTCCCGTTTTCTTAATAGCGAGACCCAAAAATAGAAGAGCAGGTAAATGAAGTCTTGTCGCAGCCCTTTTCCGGAAACATGCCATTTTCCCTCTCTGCCTACATCTCGAGAAAAAAAATAACCTCGTATTAGTCATTTATTGATTCAATTTTATCCTAAATATCGCATTAAATGGAGTGCGATGGAGCGATATACTGACAACTGATTTTTTTTTTTTTAATTTAAAATCTATGTGAAGTATGTACCGTTTTTAAAGGTTCGGATCTATTTATTAAATGAGGCTTTCAGTTGACAGAATGACTAACTCCAATTATAAAAATTTTTGAATAAAGATATTTTAGGGATATTTCTTGTTGGAAAATTTATCATATCTGTATAGACAGTGAGTAAGCTGATTCCACAGTAGATGATTGCAATGTTTAAACAGAGAACTGTGAATAAAGGTAAACATTTTTCCATTAGAAATATTATTAAAATTAATAATAAAAAATGTTGAAACTGGGGTTAGTCATTCTGTCAACCGAAAGGCTCAAATATAACTTTGTATTTAGTCCTTATCCATTGCGACTATTAACTCATTTATAGCGGGAATTTTTTTTTTTTATGAATATGATACTGTAAAATATTTGGTAAATCATATATAATGATCAATAATTATAATCAT